AAATGGCAGAGCAGACTCGATGGGCCGAATGGCCTAATTTCTGCTCCTATGTCTTATGGTCTTATGGTCTTTCCACCAGTTCAAGGTTGATATTTGAAGGCAAATCCAGAAGATAAAGGAGGCATTGTGGGAAGAGAAATCCTAAGAGATCCAATAATATGCTAACCATCACGATATGTGAAGCTTTCTTGAAGACATTGGAACTATCCACAGACCAAGACAAAATGGACAAACTTCTTTCACTCACAGTTCTTAATAATGACAATACCATCTGCCAACACTGGAAAGAATATTTTCAACATTTCCTCAATTGCGACACTCTCAAGTGACACTCTCAAGTCCTAGTCCCAGCATCCAGTGTTCAAATCCATGGGTGATCCCACCATGGATGGGAGAGCTGCAACAGGTAATCCAATGCATGGAAAACAGCAAAGCTTGCAGCCCTAATGGTATTTGAGCTGAGGACTTCAATGTTGGTGGGCTTTGCTCACATCAAAATTCCCTGTACTCATCTTATGGATTTAGGAGGAAAAGGGATTCCCTACCCCAATCCCCAAAATTAGGAATCCAACAAATTTCTTCAAGAAGGGGGATAAATCATGATTTGGAAACTAACAAGACATTTCATTTTTGTCCATTATAGGAAAACTCTTGGCGTGCATTCTCCTGAATTGCCCACACTCTGCAGCTGAGAAATTCTCCCAGCGACGCCATCTGGCTTTAGACTTGCCCAGGGAACCTCTGACATTGCCTTTGTTGCCAGACAAATGGAAAAATCTAGACAGCAACAGTAGGAACTTTGCATTCATCTACCCAACCAAAGCCTTAGAACGAGTAAATTGCATGGCTTTACAGATTCTGCTCCAAGAATTTGCATGTCTATAAAGCTTCATGCCACCATTGATTAGAGATCCAATGCCAGATCAGCTGCATAGCTCAACATTCTAAAAACTACAGCAGTATGTGTTTACCAACAAAGATATTCACAATCAAGAAAAAAAAATCATAGTGTTTAGACCAGTGGTTGTCACCAAACACTCATCTCCAAGAGCCAGACTATGCATCAGTGAAAAATAAGAGCACTAAACGAATCCCATTAAGAATGCATCCGCTGCATCTTCCAAATTCAATAGAAGGACTCGAAGACAAACACTGGTGTGCTTCTTGAAGACAAACCTACATGTATTCTGGCAAAACTCCTGTAACATCAACGGGACATAGTATCAAAAAGAGAAATGGGCTATGAACAATTGGGGTGGCACGGTGGCTCAGTGATTAGCAGTGCTGCCTCACAGCGCCAGGGACCCGCGTTTAATTCCACCCTTAGGTGCCTGTCTGTGGAGTTTGCGCATTCTTCCCGTGTCAGCGTAGGTTTCCTCCAGGTGCTCCAGTTTCCTCCCACGATCCAAAAATGGGCAGGTTAGGTGGATTGGCCGTGCTAATTTGCTGATAGTGTCCAGGAATGTGCAGCCTAGGTGGGTTAGTCATGAAAAACGCAGGGTTGCAGAGATTAGGCGGGGAGTGGTTGGTCTGGGTGGAATGCTGTTCAGAGTATCAGTGAGGACTTGATTGGCCAAATGGTCTACTTCCACACTGTAGGGATTTTATGATTCTAAGTATTACACCCGATAACACATCTGTATATCTCCTTCCAGTCTCTGAAACAGCCATTCACCACAGCTCCTTTGATTAATTGAAAGGAAATTAGTGTGGATGCTGGAAATCTGAAACAAGCATAGAAAATGCTGAAGAATTTCAGCAGGTCTGGCTGAATCAGTGGAGAAAGAAACAGAGTTAATGTTTTTATCCTTTCACCAGAACATTCCCCTTTGGTTTTTAAGCAAGTGCAGAGCAGAGGCCACGAAAATTACAGGGGAGGAGGAGAGAGAAAATGGGAAAGTATGATTCTTGTTCAGAAGACGAGTTGTTCTGTACTCAAAACATTAACTCTGTTTCTGCCTCCACAGATGTTGCCAGACCTGCTCAGTTTCTCCAGCAATTTCTGCGTTCGTTAAAGCTTGAATTACTTTCCCAACAAATTCAAAATGATTAATTGAGTATGACTTTACTTTCCGGGTATAAATCCACATGGTGCAGCAGTTGTGTTCCTAACTTTGGGCTAGATGTCTCGAGTTCAATTCCCACCTACTCCAGAAGTATACCTGAACAGGTTGATTAAAAATGTAGCCCACAGCTGCAGCTCAGTACGTTGCATTCTCACATTTGTGTCAGGAAAGCTGACACAAGTTCAAGTCCCATGATGGAAATGTAAGCAGAAATAAGAGCTCCTGTAATAAATCTGAGCTAGGTGGCTCCAGCTTCAAATTCCACCCTCTTCAAAGGTGTGTTACAGCATATCTGAATAGATTGACTAAAAATATTGACAGATCCATGCCCACTCTCTCTGTTCAACTCACATTTGTTCACTTACTCAAATAGGTTGCTCCTAATAACCAATAACTGTCCACAACAAATGTTGAGCCATCTGACCAATAATTTCTGAATTTGTCCCTCTCACACTTCTTAAGTAATTGTGTAACACTAACAATATTTCAACTCAAGGGACAATTCCTGAATTAAGAGCTTTGGAGATTTATGATTGGAGTATCAACAATGTTTACTCCTACTTTTAATATCAAGAGTGGAAACCTTTATTTATCATTCTCTCATCCTTTTATTACTTCTATTTTTGGTGCTGATAGTGTCACCTCTCAGCCAGTGGGAGGATAGATACTCCATTCCCTGTAAAATTCACCCTGTGGATTATGCTTTTTGGTGTTTCGTCTACATTTCATTTGTTGCGAGGTAACTTGAATCAATCATCAAAAAATGAGAAACAGAAACAGAAGTTGCTGGAAAAGCTTAGCAGGTCTGGCAGCATCTGTGAAAAGAAATCAGAGTTAACGGTTCAGGTCCGGTGGCTCTTTGAGATCTGTTCTTGCCCTTGTACTCTTCCACAGCACAAGTTCTGCTTCCTGCTACTAAGTAGATATGTTATTCAAGTTTTCGTGACATCTTTTCCCTCACCAGAACAGTTAATGCACTTATATACAATCAAACCAAAGAAGAAAGTAATATGATATTGCAGGAAGGGTGAACTCAAATAACCTTTTGCTAAGGGGCGTAGTTTTAAAGTGAGTGGAGGTAGATATAGGGAAGACGTCAGAGGTAGGTTCTTAACTCAGAGAGTGGTCGGGGTGTGGAATGCATTGCCGGAGAGGGTAGTGGAGTTGGCCTCATTAAGGGCATTTAAGTGGCTTTTAGATAGGCATATGGATGATAGTATAAGGTAGGGGTGGAGGTTAGATAGACCTTAGGATTAGTGTAAAGGTTTGGTGCAACATCGTAGGCCAAAGGGCCTGTACTGTGCTGTATTGTTCTATGTTCTATGTTCTAATGCCTGAATCATGTTTGAAAATGAACAAATAATTTCCATATTACCCAGCTTTTCCTTCTCACTGTACAATAGATGCAAGGGGACAACTGGGAATCTGACATTTTCAAAGAGTTGGAAATAATATGCAGAAAGCCTCCACACTGAGCAGGTAAAGATGAGTGGGATCCAAATATCCAATGGTACGAAATCCTGAAGAAGTATCAGATTCAGCACCAGACAGTCCTCTTTCCTCTGGTCAGTTCAACCTTTGAAGCCAAGGCAACCCATTCACTCATTCCTACAAAAAAAAGACTAAACCAAAAGAATTGTGGATGCTGGAAATAAGAAACAAAATCAGAAATTGCTGGAAAAGCTCAACAGGTCTGGCAGCATGTGTGGAGGGAAAGCAGATTTTCTTGTCCAGTGACCTCTTCTCAGGGCTGATTGTTTTTGAACCCATGTGTACATGTGAGTATATTTGGTGGTTTTTCCAATTGAGATTTGATGGTTTCAAAATATGGGAAGGGACACTTTTTGGTGTTTTACTTCATTAGTAAGTAGATTCAGCTACCAGTTTAAACATCAATCTTGATTACAATTTCATTACTGTTTATCTTTCTATTGATATATAGAACATGTTAATTTAACTAGTTTATTATATATATGACACTCTAGGGTACTTGTCACACTGTTTCATGTGTTTTTCTCCAGAGGTCACAACCTTTCCTATTACCTCCTCCCTCTCCTTTTCCTTAGCTCTGCTCTGCACTTGCTTAAAAACTGATGTTCTGGTGAAAGGATAAAAATGGGTACACCTGTTTAAAAGGGATGCTTCAGCCAAGAATTTTGGGGCTAATTGGCACCAACTTTTGAATGTGGCTAAACGTGTTGGCACAGACTGTGGCACTCAAATACAAATCAGAATCGATTTTCCTGAAGTGGTATATCTGAGATATTTTCTAATGTTATTACACACCTCTGGAGCGGGTGGAACCTGAACCTGGGACACCTGATTCAGAGGTAGGGGCACTACTACTGCCCCACAAGAGCTCCTAAATTGTCATTTTAAATTGGGAGATTGCACAGCAACCCCTGCTGTGCTCACCAGTCACAGAATATCAATTTTCTTTTTAATCAATCAGCTCAAGTGTAATCCCATGACAGGTAACTCAGACCTAATGGCCCAGAGGTTGGGGCACTACCACTGTGTCACAAGATCCTTTAGTTGAAGGTTTAGCCTTGAAAACCCTTTGCAGTTTCTTTAATTGGAAATTAGAGCTTTAACCTGTTGCTAGTTTGTGTTGCAATTAATTTACATACCAAGATGATGTTGGCCACTTCAAGTCCTCCTGGGAGAGGTAGCTGGAGGAGGAAAAAAACAACGCTTTAAACTCCACAATCTTCCACTTGTGACGGAAGGTGGTGAATCTGAGTAGTTAACTGCCTTTCTCTGGGGATACTGCCTGACTAACCGTGTATTTTCATCTTCCCCTGGTCTCATTTCAGATTTCCAGTGGGATCTTGATTTGATGTTTGTTTGTTGACGCGGTTGGTATCACCCCGATTGATTAATTAAAAGAGAATCTGTTTAATCCCTAAACCCCACATCAAAGCAGCAAGAAAATAAAACGGAATACTGGAATATCTCTGTTGATCCGATTCCTTGGTGAAGCGAAAAGAATGGATATGGGTTTGATCACGTTTGCTCCCAATTAGATTAACATTGAACAGCTCCCTGTAATCATAGTGAGAAGCTTTGCCAAGGTGGAATAACTCACTGGTTTCCCTGGAGAGTTTTATACTGAGCATTTGTTCTCACGCCTGAAAATGTATTAACATAAACAAAGAACGCTGAAAACACCCAGCAGGTCAAGGCAGCATGCTGGAGAGATACAGAGTTAATGATTCTTAGTAGGTGGCTTTTTACCAGAAATGATTCGCCCTCAGTTCATTGGCGCTGGCCATCCCCCCATCTCTCAGGTGTGTTTGGAGGAGCGACTTCATTCATTTGATTATGAAGTGCCATTCAGACTTTTAGCCGATGTTGTTTGCCTAGCTGCAGGCTTTCTGACCCGAGAAAACTGCAATCCGTATCGCTGTCCCGGTTTTAACACTTCAGTCGCGGGGGAGACCAGCCCCAGCAGGTAAACGTAGGTACATAAACTGAAGGTGAGCTTGATGTGTGTGTGTGTGTGTGTGTGTGTGAAGTGGGAATGCCGTACCTGAGCTCACTGCAGTCCGATGCTGAAGAGCTGCCAGTGTAGTTGAAGCACCAGCGGGTAAAATCAGCTTGGTTGCTATTGTAAGGAACTACCCGTCATGTTTAATGTGGGATTTTTCACAGGCGCAGTTCGAAATTTTGGATGTGAAATGATTGAGGTTAAACAAAGCTGTTCATCCGAATCCACTCCGGACAAACAAAAAAACCTAGGACTATAAATTCGGTTTTTTTTTAAAAAATCCCAAATTTGATCTAAATTCAGATTCTGCAGTTAGTGTAGATCCAGTCCCACCCAAGGCACTTCTCCGTTGTTAATGTGACCCATCCCTTCAATGTGGACAAAGATCTCGGTCCAATTTACAATCGCTTTATTTTCTTCCAGCTTCGTACAGCTGTGTTGCTTGGAACCGTTTTGTGATAGCAGTTTAGCAATTCTTAATTCTTCAAAGATACTGAAATTGCATTGGGCGTTAACGTCACTCAGAAATAAAATGTCGGTTCCAGGGTAGGGGTCCCTTACTACACCCATATGTAACTAAACACTCCAAACTTTAAAATTTCTTCTGTTTCTTGCACTTGAGAATGACCGATTATAAAACTCGGACTGTATTCAATAACAAACATGTGCTACCCTCTCCACATTGAGGTTAATGCCTATAAAACTATTGAGATGGCAAATTTACTAAAAGAGTAGTTTGCTGTGAATGCTTCTAACTATTTGGGCTAGATACCAAATTAATGTTTCAATGTAGATGTATAAGGATTTGATTTGACTTATTATTGTCACATGTACCTGAAGACGGTGAAAATTATTGTTTTGTGCATTAACCAGACATCAGGGTAATAGAACCAAATGCAGTGTATAATGTTACAGCTACAGAGAAAGCATAGAGAAATATCAACTCTAATATGAGAGGCCCATTCATAACTTGGCTCATTTTCAGATTACTCCATATTGGCTTGACTGGAAGTATCGTGGTTGAAGGAAACTACATGTGCATCATAACTTTCCTTCGTATAAAATGAACTCAGTTTTCCAGAAAGTGGACTTTTGACTGAGTGCATCTTTTTTCCAGGAGTGTAGTTAGGAGTACCTTGGGCAGAAGGACCCAATTTTTTTTGGGTGGACCTTTTTTGATCGTTTCCATGGCCTATTTTATTCCCCGACTCATGATGCAGACATGTAGTAACAATACTCACATATTCACATTCATGTTTGGCGTGTTTGGTCTTGCACAGCACACAAGCAGAAGTGGGAAGAGTTCATCAATATGATCGGTAATTATCACCAGCGCAATAAGTTTAATGACAGCACCCAAGGAAGGCGTTAGTTTCCTGGACATGACTGTTAAAATTGACACAAGATAAACATGAATCATAAGTTAATGGCAACAGTTTCTTTTTGTTTCAAAATTATTTGGATGCAGCAGTGCACTTGAATGATAATGTCACAACTAATGTGTTTTCACTGTGAATACCAAAAGCTGCAATATTTTAACCAGATAGATGCTACCTTTTTTTTACTGCACTTACAATCTCAATCTCCGATTTTAAATGTAACAATCATGTTCATTCCCATTTTATCCACTATTTTTCCCATACAGTAACTCCTGAACTTGTGCCACCATTCATTTGCAAGGAATTCATTACCTCCGTGATTTCCTCGTTCCCAGTTAGCTGCATTTTCCTTTGTTGATAGTTTCAACTGTTTTGTTCTCCTTTGTGGTTTCCACTTCCTCCTGCCTTGCAAATCCCTCCTTCCCAGCCTTCAGATCCTCCCCCACCACCACTATGCAGCCTCCCTCTCCCCTTGAGCTTCCTCAGGCGGCCTCAATTTACCTTTGCCCTCTTTACGCAGCCTTCCTTCTCCTTCCTCGCCCTTCATGGTCCCCATCTGCCTTGTTCCCATTATCCAGCCTCCATGCTCCACACTCGGCACACCCCCAGCCCCCACCACCGGCCCTCTTCCCCTTTAGAGGAAATGGAGCACCTGTATAGTTTTCAGGTTATTCTCTGCCGAGTGGGTGATGCTGAAAATTAGCAACTTTTTAAATTCATTCTTGCAATGTCGGTATTGCTGGTAAGGACAGCATTTGTTGCCCATCCCTAATTACACTTGTGACAGTGGTGGCGAACTCCTGTCTTGAACCACTGCTGAACATGGGCAGGGAGCTGTTTGGGAGAGAGGTCCAGGATTCTGACCAAGCAACAGTGAAGGAGTAGTTTTATAGTTACAAGTCAGGATGCAGCATGACTTGGAGGGGAGCCATGGGTTTCATGCATCATTTGCCTTTGTCCTTCTAGACGCTAGAGGTCATGGATTTGGAAGATGCTGTTGAAGAAGGCTTGATGAGTAGTTGCAGCACATTCTATATATAGTACATATTGCTGCCAATGTGTCAAATGGCAGAAGGAGTGAATGTTTAAGGTGATCTATGGGGCAATTGAGCTGCCTTGTCCTAGATAGTGTTGAGCTCCTTGAGGATATAGGACCTTTATTCTTCCGGACAAGCGAAGTGAAGGAGCTTTATTCAAGTGGTGTGAATTCCATCACTTGTGCCTAGTAGATGGTGGACAGGCTTTTGGGGAAACGGGAGTTGGTATTTGCCACAGAATTCCTAGCCTCTGACCTGTTCTTGCAGTTACATTATTTATACGACTTCTCCTGTCCCTGGTCAATGGTAATTCTAGGAAGGTGCTAATGCTGAGAGAGCTGGTGATTAGCCTGTCTTGTTGAAGAGGATCAATTTAATGCCACACACATGACTGTCAATGTCTTGTCCCTTAACCATCCAGTTATGCTGCATGCTAGCACAAGATGCTTCAGTATCTGTGGAGTTGTGAATATTTCTGATCCATTGTACAATCATCAATAAAGATCCCTACTTCTGAATGTGTGAAAGAAGGAAGATCATTGAAGCTGGAGTTGGTTGAGCCTGGGCCTCTGCCCCCAAAGAATTCCTGTGGCAGCATTCTAGAGCTGAGATGATAGAACTCCCAACAACCACATTCATTTTCCTTTATGCTAGCTATGACTCCAATCAGTTAAATTTCCATTGACTTCAATTTTCCTGGTGATCTTCGATGCCAGACTCCGTCAATTGGTGCCTTGATGTTGAGGGCAGTCATTATCACCACATGGCTATGCTTTGTCCATGTTTGGATCAACATTGAAATGAGGCTGAGAGTTTAGTGGCCTGGTGAAGCTCAAACTGAGCACCAGGTCGCAGGTTATTGCTGAGTAAGTCCTGCCTGTTGGAGATAGTTCAGAATCTCTTTGCATTCCACCCCTTCCTTTTAAAGCATTTCGTTAAAATGCCTTGCCATCCTTCTAGATGTGAAATTCCCTGACTTCTCTCAAGACAAGGTGTAATTGACACAAATATTTCTAGATGGTCACTGAGTTACATTTTCTTTGGCTTGTATGACCTTTTTTTAATAAGTAAGGGGTTGTTTTGTCTTTTTAAGATTTTAATTTGTCTGCAAGTAATTCAAGACTATGATTTGTTGTCTTCGTAGGACAAATCAGGGCAGGACTTATACACTCAATGTTAAGGTCTTAGGGAGCATTGCCAAACAAAGAGACCTGAACGTGCAAGTTCATGGTTCCTTGAAAGTGGAGTCACAGGTAGGCAGGATAGCGATGGAGGCATTTGGTACATTTGCCTTTATTGGTCAGTGCACTGAGTGTTGGCGTTGAAAGGTCAAGTTGCAGTCGTACAGGATATTGGTTAGACCACTTTTGGAATACAGCGTTCAATTCTAGTGATAGAATCCCCACACTGTGGAAACAGGCCATTTGGCCCAACAAGTCCACACTGACCCTCCGAAGAGCATTCCAACCAGACCCATCCCCCTACCCTATGCCTGCATTTTCCCGTGGTTAATGCGCCTAATCTACACATCCCTGAACACTATGGGAAAATTAGCCTGGCCAATCCACTTAGCCTGCTCGCTTTTGGACTGTGGGAGGAAACCAGAGCACCCAGCAGAAACCCAACAGACACGGGGAGAACGTGCAAACTCCATACAGACAGTCGCCTGAGGTTAGAATCAAACCTGGGTCCCTGCCGCCGTGATGTGGCAGTGCTAACCATTGAGCCACTATGTTGCTTAATTGCCCTGTTATAGGAAAGATGTTGTTAAACGTGAAAGGGTTCAGAAAAGATTTGCAAGAAAGTTGCCAGGGTTGGAGAGTTAAAGTTATAGGGAGAGGCTCAATAGGCTGGGGCTATTTTCTGTGGAGCGTCTGAGGCTGAGGGGTGACCTTATAGTAATTTATAAAATCATGAGGGGCATGGATAGGGTGAATAGCCAAGGTCTTTTTCCCTAGGTAGGGAAGTCAAAAAGTAGAGGGCATAGGTTTTAGGTGAAGGGGAGAAAATTTTAAAAGGGACCTGAGGGGTAACATTTTCATACAGAGGGTGGTGCATGTATGGAATGAATTGCCAGAGGAAGTAGTGGAGGCTGGTACATTTAAAACTCATCTGGATGGGTATATGCCTAGGAATGGTTTAGAGGGATATGGGCCAAATGTTGACAAATGGGACTAGATTTATTTAGAATATCTGGTCGGCACGGATGAGTTGGATTGAAGGGTCTGTTTCCATGCTGTACATCCCTGACTGTATGACAGTGTCTAGTGCCTTTAATCATTTTGTGGTATCATGTGAAATATCTGAAGACTGGTAGCAGGTACCTCCAATGATGGTAAGTTGGGTCCTCTGTTAGGCAATTCTGATTGAAAGTAATTGTAAATGCTTTACTTTTTTTTTGCACTGGCACGCTGGACTTAAAGTCACAGTCATAGAGTCATACAGCATGGAAACAGATCCTTTGGTCCAAACAGTCTATGTAGAACATAATTCCAAACTAAATAGTCCCACCTGCCTGCTCCTGGCCCATATCGCTCAAACTCATTCCTATTCATGTAATTATCTCAGGGTCT